TTGTAAAAAAAATTATAATTATTATTTTTATATTACAGTGATTTGAGATTATCAAGAAATCGTCTTTTGGAGTTGATAAAAAATCCAAATAATTCAAGTGACACTATAGAGCCAGCTTTCCATAGCTATTTAAGCTTATTATATGGATTCATATGGGAAATCAGTTCTGTTGCAGAAGAAAGTGAATATGTTGGCAGGCCAAATCCTAGTAAACTCAGAAATGTTCTTATATATAAGTGGACACATACATTATTGGGAACAAATACATAGTAATATATTTTTTATATGTTTATTCAATAGAAAAATATAAATTTACAGTATAATTTAAACTATTATTCTCTTATTTATTATAGTTCTAGTGCTGATTCTGTCTATGAAGCAGCTAATATGAGCATGAATGTTGGACTTTGGTTTATGAAACATGCTGCAATGATTGCTGCTAAAGATGAGTAAGTATAAAAAATAAAAAATAAATGAACTGTAATGTAAATAATATTACAAAAAGTATCATCCAGTAACAATATAATTTAGTATAAATTTAAATGAAGCAAAGGATGTACATACTATGCTAAGACGGGCTGCAGGAATATTTACTTTTGTGCAAACAGAGTTTTTGCCACAATTAGCAAATCCTTCACCATTAGGAAGTGATTTAGATCCAAGAATACTAAATGCATATGTGAATCAATGTACAGCAGAAGCACAAGAAGGTTGTACAACATATAAATGTAAAATTCTATACGAAGATTTGTAATACTAGTAGAAGTGTATTTTTATTTATGTCATGTTACAGTGACAGTGGCAAGAGCAGTAGAATTGAAACATAATGCTAGCTTAATATCTGCATTAGCTAATGAAACAAGTAAATTGTTTTTGGATGCTGCTAATACTTTACGCCCATTTAAACCAGAGATATCAGCTCAGTGGATTAAATACTTGGAGCTTAAAGCAGCATTTTATCAATCCTATGTAAGTGTATTATTGATAAAATAAATATTAAAACAATTTTTTGTTTTTAAACAATTAAACTTTATAGGCTTATAATTATTGTGGAGAAAATTTATTAGCCATGGATAAATGTGGAGAAGCAATTAAAGCCTTACAGGAAAGTGAAGCTACTTTAAAGAAAGCAAAAGCATTGTGTCAAGAATATGGAAAAATAAATGGACCAGCACCTAGAGTAAAACCAGATCAACATGCTGTATTTAAACGCCTAGCACCTATAGTTAAGCTTACACTTGATAAATGTAATCGCGAGAATGGTTTAATGTAAGTATTATATGCACAAAATTTTAAAGAATACAACTTGTGGATAAAATTTAATTCTAACAACCCATACTTTTAAAGTTATCACCATCTAATACCAGGAGAGGTTCCAGCATTGGATACAAAAGCTACCTTTGGTTTAGTGAGTCCTATTGATTTTCAAATGCAATCACATAATCCTATATGGAATTTAGATATATATAGAACGTTATCCAACTTAACTCCTGCAAAAGTAGAAAAAGAACAAAATTTACCACCTGTTAAAGAAGATGCATTTCACCAAAGTTCCAAAGATCCAAAGAATGCAAGTGGATGTTCATTACAGTAAATTATATAATGCAAAAATACAGGTAGTAAATTGAATTCACTGCTTTTCTTGTCGCCGTGATATTAAGCGCTGTTTTAAAACTAACGTATTAATTTATTTTTAAAAATTCGTGCACATGCTTAGCAAAACGTAAATTGTCAATTCAGTATTTAATTAGCATTTAAATGCTTTCACATATACATTCAATAGCAGACATAGTCTTAATTTTTGATTAAGAACTATTGCACGTATTAAATTATTGGCATAAGCAGAAATATTATCACATGCATATAAAATATGTTTTTATTTTATGAATTTACCCGGTTGTAGTATTATTTTTTTAATGTATATAATTTACATTTGTGCAATCTAATACATAAAAATATTATGCATATAATGTAATTGTTATATCTTGTTTTCTTTTATATTGAATACATAAGATGTTCTTCTAACCGTTTTATTTCTATAAAATTAAGAAAGCATTAGCGATGTATTCTAGGTTCGTTTATTTTATTTTTATACTACTATGCAAGCTAGTCAGTATCGGAAAGTTTAAAATTAAATTAAACACAACAAAAAAGATAACTTTGATGAATATTTATACTATAAGAAAATATGACCGTTTCTCTATAAAATATTTTGTATGAAATCTATTTTTCCAAAGGAGTATCTTATGTACTCACAATGTATTATGAGTATTGTACATAAAGAGATGTACTTTGAAATTATGTTTTATATTTATCGAAACTATGAGAAATGCAATTGTATTATATGTAATATGTTTACTTCTGATTTATATGTCGAATGAAATTCGATCGAAGCAGCTAATTGTGTATATATATACATATGTTTTTAAATGTAAATTAAATTTATTTTTCAAATATGAATTAAAATCTACAAATAAAGAATGTACCAAAAACTATTGTGATTTTTATTTAATCGATCTTACATACATAAAATAAAATTATGAGCTCATAACATAATTTTTCTTTTATAAATTGAAAAATTTGGTTTTAGGAAGAAAAGTATTCAAATGTCGCGCTACTATTGAATGCTATATTCGTCATGCGCGGTGGAAAACATGAGAGCTATGTTAGCTTTTTCAATTCATGATTATATGTATATAGTTGGCGCGATATCAATGTGCTTCCAGTCAGATCGCATTCTTCAGTGCGGTTTCGGACCGAAAGAATGGCGCGTGTAAGAATGTAGTTTCTTTCATATACATATATTAATTACATTCACGTTCTGCTGCAGTGTCAGTAACTGTGAAATAAACTTCAACTTTCCACATAATAGTTACGAATTCTGAAATCTATATATATTTTTAAAAATGTATTAAAGTTATTCTATATACATGCTAGAGGTTACTTGCAAGTATAGTGAAAGTTGTTCGTCGTGTCTTTGACCTAATTCAGTTCCTCCTGTCTTTTAGACATAATACGTATTTAATACATTCCACAATAGGATAAACTTATTATATAATGATTATTGTTGATAACAGCATATTTTAATCAGTATACAACAAGAGCAGAAATTTAAATTGCTGTAATGACGAGCATAGAAACACGTGACGTAATCCGAGTTGGATCTCGAAAAAGCGAGGTAAATACACAAATACTTAAATTTTTTATAAGAAAAGTGAAAGTATGATTTTGTTATGTTCTTATAGTTTAGTATTATTCATCGTTGTAGTCATCGAAACTTTTTACATTCTTGAGAATAGTAATAATAGCAATAATGATAATAATCAGATAAGTACTATATTCGGTCATGTTCAAGAGTATAAAAGAGAAAAAAATATTTTCCTTTCTATTTATTACAAACTATCTCTCTCACTAAAATTAACGAGCAGAATATTGTTTTATTTGTGATATACTGCATGATTTGTAGAATACTACAAGTGACATTTGTATTCTTAATTGTGCATTAGTCAGCATTTTTTATATATTACATATTTCCGTCTTATTTAATAGTAGATATTTATATTTTGTATTTGTTTTACGTTAAATAATATTTTTCGACCTAGTTTAGTAAGTTAATTGTATTTTTATAAAAGAAAAAAAAAATTATTTGGTATTTAATTCAAACGAAATATGTAATAGAATGTTTAAAGGAGTATCACCCCAAAAAAGAATTTCAAATAGGTAAGTCAAATTACATATCTAAACACTTATTTGTCTTAAATATTAAAATCTGTTTTATAAAACATTAAAAAGACTAAATGTTCATTTTTTATTATGTAATTGTTAATAAATAACTATTATATATGCTTTAAAATGGAATCTCTTATGTAATGTACAAATCATAATAGATATTCTACTTATATAAAATATACTTTATAACATTTTGGCTATATATTTATGTCAAGACAAATTTTATACTTTGTTCTTATTGAAATTTTTCATATAATCTTTAATAACAAATAATGAAAATATATTTAATTTGCAGTTAAAATGTCTACCAAAGGGGATAAAATCTTAGATAAATCTTTACCTAAAATTGGAGAAAAATCTCTGTTTACAGAAGAGTTAGAACTTGCCCTTGAAAATGGTCATGTTGATTTTGTAGTGCATTCACTGAAAGATTTACCAACATCACTACCAGAAGGAATGGCTTTGGGTGCAATATTAAAGTGAGTACAAAATTAAATTAATGATATTATACTTGATATAATTTAACATGCTGTTCATGTCTTGCTGTTTCAAAATGGTGGTTTGTATATTTGAAATTTAAATTTGTAATGAAATTACCATACTCATGAAAAAAACATTGCACACATAAAATGCATGTTATTTACGTAGAAACAAAAATATCTGAGACATTCTTAGAAAGTTTTTTCAAATTTCTAAATTGTGATTTTTTTACATTTTATTAAATATAGATTAGATGAAGTGAAATGTGTCTAATTTCAGTACAAATATTTTTATAGACGTGAAGATCCACGTGATGCAGTTGTTATGTCTAAAAAGCACAAAGACAAGACTTTATCTACCTTACCAGAAGGTAGTGTCATTGGTACTAGTTCATTACGCAGATCAGCTCAATTGGCTAGAAATATGCCACATTTAAAAGTTGAAAATATTCGTGGTAATTTGAATACTAGATTAAGGAAACTAGATGATGAAGATGGGCCCTTTGCAGCAATTATTTTAGCTGCTGCAGGTCTAAAAAGAATGAATTGGGAAAATAGGATAAGTCAGGTAATATTTATAGAATTTTTATTGTATAAATTGTTACTCTTTTCACATTGTTCTTTAATATTTATAGTTGTTAGAACCAGAAGAAGCATTGTATGCTGTTGGACAAGGTGCATTAGGAGTTGAATGTCGGGAAACGGATTGGAGAATATTATCTCTTTTAGAACCATTACACGATGTAGATACAACTCTAAGATGCGTATGCGAACGTTCCTTTCTAAAAACATTAGGTGGTGGATGTTCAGCACCAGTTGCTGTTTCTTCAACTTTGAAAGATAAGGCCCTTACTATTACTGGTGCAGTATGGTCTTTAGATGGACAGAAATTTCTTAAAGATACATTTAAAAGTAGAATTTATATACCTGATGATGATGGGGAACCTCCAAAGTAAGTATATATAGATAAATGTACAATTAAAATTTATGAACTATTATTCACACAATTTTCATTCATTACATGATAGAAAGTGTCCATATCGAGAACCACAACTTTACTGCAGTGTTACACCAGGCAAAGTAAGCAATTTAAGCCTTTTAGTTGCACAAAAGCTTGGTAAGGATCTTGCAAAAAGTCTTATAGAGAAAAGCGCTCTTGATATTATGACGGAAGCAAGAAATGAAATTTTAAACACAAAATAGCGCTAATAAACAATAATGCAAAAATTAGCTTTTCTTGATGATGAAAATCAATTTTGGAAATGCACTTGTTCTAGGTAAACCAAATGTACAGAATTTATTAATGTTAAAAGCAGTTTAAGTTAAAGCTATATACACTGCCATATTGTGACTTTACAGTTATGTAAAATATTATATGGTTTACAACAATTTATGATGTTTCATAATTTTAAATAAAATTATAAATATACTGAAGCTATGCTTGAAGCTTTTATATTTACACTTCATACCAATATCTTCCATTTTTTTTTTTAAACGAGTCATTATCAAGAAAACTAATTACTGTCTATTAATATAAGTATTATGATAAAATATTTTTATAATACTATATCAAGGACATAAAAATTATATACTGTATTTTGTTTCATAAAACAAAAAAAAAAACATTTATATAAGTTCACTGTATTGGATTTAGTCCTATATCCATTTTATGCATTATTATATGATATTTTTTCATAATCAAATAAAATGTATGACATACATATAAAATTTTAAGCACAAAAAGATTTTACTGAATTTAATTTCTTTTATTAATAACATTAATTTATTCTCGCATGATACAGTTCTTAAGAAAAACAGCTTTTGTTTGATACTATGATATAAACTATGATTCTCTTTTATTGCTTTTAGTTTATAAGAATAGAACATTTTTTATACAAAAAATAATTATAAAGTGCTCAGTATGCTAGTGAGTACCGTTGAAAATAATGTCATGTACATATGCTTATGATGATATATCTATTACAAGGATATTAATTTCATATTCACAAGGTAGAATACACATTTGCATAAATTTGTGCAAATTCTATAAAATATGAATATATAGTCGAATTATGAATATATAGTCGTAACAGTATTCTTGTAGCCATTTGTAAATATTTCCAGGATATAATATGTTATTTAAGATCACATTTCATATTAATTCCTTATTACAGGAGTATAATATTTTAACATGCTACAACAACTAATGCATACAATTATTTCAAAATTTTTGTAGGATCAAGTACATTGTTAAAGGTGGAATTTCCCATAAGTAACGGATGCTTTTGTACCAATATGATGAACGTAGGAGCCATTCCATATTAAATCAGACAGGAATTGTATTACAATTATCCATTTTTTCAAACTTGGCATGTATGTTAATCATCTTAAGAAACTAAATTGTGTAAACTTTCAGTTTTTGAAATATTTAATGTGAATGCTTTGAGAATTTTTGCGATATCAGTCGACACGTAACCGTTGTACTCGCAATATTTGAATTCTTTTTTATTTCTTGTCATTTTAGAGCGAAAGAAATGCGTTATTAGGATACATTTATAAAAATTAATTTATTAATTAATATAATTATAATTGAATTTTCAAATGCTGATTTAACGCTGTTCTCACCTTTGGAGTAGTTTGAAACAAACATCATTGGATATCTTGAATTTTATCCTGTGAAACAAACTTTTCAAAAGATGTAGTGATTTCAGGAACATTGAAAAAAAGAATAAAATTTGTAGTGGTGCACATCGCTCAATGCCATACAGACGCCATTCGCTGCTAAATAGATATCGCGCGTTTATTGCAGGCACTGTGAAGTAATCTAAACTCATGGACGGCACAAAATATCAAGTGAAAGTATAAGAAACTAATAAGCAAAAAATACACTTGTCTTAATGTTAAGAGTATTTTTTCTTTTGGCAGAATTAAGTTTTTCAACTCTCATAACGACATTTTTCTTAAATTGTTACTAGTCAGATTTAAAATAAAGTTAACTTATTTTAACTTAATTTAAAAAAGTGTCTATATGCTTCTTCATCATTTGTTAAATGATTTATTATTAATATAGTAGAATAACCTTCCTTATTTGACTTTTTATAAAAGAGAAAATTTAGCCCACTTTTTTATTTTCTAACCTTCTCATTCGGATAATGAACCTGTATTAACTAAATACGTCGCATGCCTATCAGGAAACATAATCTGCACGTAGACGTTGTGTTGAATCACATGCGACCGACGCATACGTCCAAATGCATGCATCTGGCTGATAGAAAATCCCACCTTAACTTCCAGAATTATATCAATTATTTTACTCCTGAATTATTTTTGCATTTCTGTTCTCTTTTAAAATTGTGAAATATGTAACAAATATGAACAAGTTATGGTAGTTATATCATGTAAACAGGTATAAAGAAAATTTTATGTGACTAGAGATGTTTGTAGATCATATGTTACATATGCATCTGCTGCCACATATTTTGTCCATGTATTATAACTCATTATTGTGGCAGTTAATGTTTTGAAAATAGTTAATGTAATTTTTAAATAAAAATTGTATTCAGAAATTAATACAACAGTTCTTTCCATTTAAAATTTAAATGCATATAAGTATATCACTTTCTTAATTGATAATATATAATTACCAAGGAGTATGGAAGTTTAATCAAGGGGAATAAGATATAATTAAAAGGCTTGACCAGAATAAAGCCACGCAAATATCTACATTATCAAAAAGAGTGTACACTTTCTACTAATGGTTAGATTTTATTTTGAAATATTCAACGCAATTTATATAGTACTTTATTCAACCTCTTCCTCAGCCATTGCAATTTGAGGTGCTATTTTCTGTAACAATAAGTGAGAAACAAAATTTTCCCATCCTTCCCCTTATTAAAAAAACTTCATTTAGATACATACCTCGCTAATAGCTGGTAATCGTTGTAATAAAGCATGGAAAACTTGTGGTGGCAGTGTTTTCTGAAGAACTTGTAACAATTGTGTGGGTTGCCCACAAACTGCAACTGCATTTGCTAAATGTTCAATTCCACCTTCTATGTCACCACATGTAAGCATTTCCTCTCCAAGTTGGACCTATAACATATTTCCAATACATTTTAGAAATAACATAATACAACAAAAGTGTCAGTGCATAATAAAATTAAAAAATAATATTAACCTCTTGCAGGAAAAATCTTTGTATAACTTCATGATCTTTTAAATCTGGAATCTTTGAACTAGCTTCTTGAGCCTGTTTTCTTGCTTGTCTACCTATAAGAATAAAATAATAATATTAATTTCATATATTTACTATAACATCAATATACTG